CACATTAAGTAATTGCCAGTATTTGCAGTTGAAAAGGGTAAAAGGAATTTCCTTGTGAAAATGACTCCTTGTAAAGAAGAAGGATTAAAAAGACAAAAGAGAAGCTATAGTTCTACGTTTTGTTTTGCTTGATTGATTAATTTGTAATAAGTAACATTAAATAATTTATCAGAGGTTGTCTGGTATCGCTCCAAGTTCTTGCTCATCTTATATATCTCCTCTATGAATCCTGATAAACTAACTCTAAAACATTCTTGCATTAAAAGCAAATAAATTTTAGTTTAAGAAATAGAGACAAATGCACAAAAAATGTTCAACTATAATGTATCAATATGGATCATTCTAGGAGTAATATATATATATATATTGGGATTAATATAAAGGACAAAATATTTATAAATAAGATGTAGAATAATGAATAAAACTATATACAATAAATGTCAATAAAAAACAATTATACTATTCAATATACAATTTTGCTTCACTTCCGTTAAACCTCACATCTAGCATGAAGATAAATGTAGATTTCTTTGAATTCAAAGGATAAATTTTGTAAATTTCAGACACCCTCCAGAATGTATAACGTATATTCCTCTATAAACATAAAAGTGGAAATCAGCTTTTGATATTACTGACCTCTTTGAATACGCAATTCAGTACAGATATAAAATCTCTGTGAAGCGCACACGTCGTTTTTGATGTAATATTAATACCACTTCACCAGCTCAAGAACAAATTTGTTGTGATTCAGAAAATCAGTGTCTAGTTGAATTATAAACATCTCGGACACATTGGCTTTCTTTTAAAAAAAGCATTTTATTCTTACTGTTCCAGCCATGGGTTTATTCGAAGCTCTAAAAGCTAGTCCACCAAAAACAGTGGCTATGAAAAAAAAAATGGGACTCGTTACCCAGCGAGGAATAAGATACTCTATGATGTACCCCAAGAGAATTGAAGTTCCTTTCAGCTCCAGTCACTTTCCATGTGTCTTACCAAAAGTTAAATGTCGTTCATAAAGCATTCACAATGCTCTATCCACAACCATTTTCCTTCATTCCAACTAGTGCTTTTATTATCAACGGAAAAGTACACAACTGTTTTTTTTCAGACGCGACATAACGGAATTGTAACGATTTATTTGCTTACTGATGCCTAAAATAACAACTGAAGTGTTTTTTAAAGACTTGATTGACTTAAACCACCCCACTATAAAGGACTGCCACAGTCCTCGTAAGTTTTGGGGGGGACTGCTTCATACAGCTCCTAATAGGTACCATCCTGATTCCATGCCTTTCAATAACAAATTATGGCCACCAGTGAATACGTAAATTCCTATTTCGAAATGAATAGTCGCTTTATAGGGGGGGGGGAGGGGGGAAGGTAAAGCTAAGTATAGATATAAACACGTAAAAAAAAAGTTAAAATAGAGTTTGTGAATTAAAAAATGATAAAGAATTAATCTTGTATGGTTATTTTCTTTTTAAATGAAAAGTTTATTAATTAGTATCGTATAAAAAATTATGCAATACGCATATATATAAGTATAATTCTAAACGAAAAGATAAGCTTAATAATGATTAAAAGGCATTGTTTTTTGGATAAAAATTGAATACAATTATGCAAGCTGCACTTAAATACCAGGATAAGCTTCTAAGCTTCGATGAAAAGGTACTTTTAAAGGACCTTCCGCTGATAAAGCCACACGTATAACTTGCATAAGAAGACTGTAATTAGATAAAAGTCATTTAAATCCCAAAAGTAAATTTGAAGGATTACACCAATTCATTATAAAATAAAGAAATCTTGGAAAAAATTTAGCTTCTACATCCCAACAGTTGACGTCAGAATGAATAAAAGATAGGCCTGAGCAAGTCCCATTCGTTTTAAAATGAGCTAGTTATGGCTTGTTTCCACCTAGCCAATAGGCAATTCTAAGTCGGCAGGAAGAAATAGCCCTCAAGCGATCAGGTCCAACATAACGTTATTAGCATGAAATTAGGGAATATCAGAATTGTTTTTTTTTTAAAGGGAATAAAACTAGTAAGATAAATTCCGTTTATAATATTGTAAAAAAAATGAGTTTAGTTCTTGTAACGAAGCGTCGGATAAAAAAAGAAATAGTGTTTGATAACAATTGATTTGTTTACTTTACTAATAAAGCTGAAATATATATATATAAATGGCTGCATAAATCCATTTTGTGGAACTCTAAAAAGTATCGAATTTGACCAAGCTAAGTAAACTTGTCTTCAGTTCACAAAGTTTGGTGGATACCAAATATTTCCTCGGACTTAGGCCATATTTTGAAAGCTCCAACCAAAAAGGTCACACAAGATTCGAAGCAGGTGACAGAAAATCTCTAAAAAATGGGTTTAAAGCAATTATTAAAGATATCAGTTCCCAATTAACATTTAAAAAAAGTAGAAATCTATGTTGAAATAGATTATCGTATAAAAAAGTTCAAATTCCCCTTTTCTGGCGGAGAGTCTCAAAACATTCCTTTTTTGTGCCCTTGGAACTCTTCAATATATGCCAAAACCCCATGAAACTTTTGCGTTGAAATAGATCGTAGGAACGAAACAGTGAAAAACACATAAAAATTTATGAAAAGTCATTACTTTAAATCTGGATATTGGGCTTTAGGTGCTGAAGAGTTGGAAATCATTATAGAGGAAATAAATGTTTGGAATTTTTTATTTTTATAACTATAGCCGTAAATGATTGAAAAATAGAAAGTTTTATTTATTATTATTATTATTATGTTAATGGGGTATTTCAAAAAAAAAAGTAGAATTTTGGAGAGATCGCGCCTATCAAATGCACCGAAGAATCAAGACAAATTTAAAATCAGCAACTGCATGTTTCGTCGTTGAAGAATAACGGCGCAATAAGAAAAAGATCACCAAAGAGAATTGCTTAATTAGATAACAACGTTCAGTAAATAATACGTCGAAACTTAAAATCCGGCAATAAATACTTTAGCCAAGCTTTCGTCAAAAAAATTAAAAGGACCCACTTGGCTCAAATATTCCACAAATAACTCAACTTTGCTCAAACTTACTTTTGAGCCCCCGAGCTATCTTTCAGCTTAAACGTTATCTTTTCCACCTATTGGGGCTTAAAATGCGCAATAATCTTGGATTGGCCAAAATAAAATTTAGCAAAGTTCTCGCGATTCTGGACCCTTGACTTGATTTATAAACCAGCATGTTCAACCACAAACGCATAGCCCCCACCTTCATGTAAACATTAAAACTCAAAAAACACATCCCTTAGGATTCTGATACCGGGGACTGCTGTTATCACAACGCTTGGGCCAAATCACCCATAAGAAGCCACAGCCCATCACCAATAACTTGTTCAAAATGAATAAATTCACCAGATTTCGCTGGTTGATTTCGTTTTCGTGGAGGGGAATGAATGGGTAAGAGATGAAAAGTCGGACCTAAAGTTTGATAATGACGCAACATATCGAGTTGTAAACTTAAATGGAATGGCAAAATGATCACAGACCAACAGAAGCATTAGTAGATGAACCAGCTCCTTCATTTTTGTGAAAAATGCTTGATTGAGGCAGATTAATTAAAATGTGCCAATGAACACCTTATTAAAAAAAAAAAACTAGGGTGCTGGGTGAGGTATCTTAATGAAAAATTGTAATGGAATTGAACATGCAACCACCGCCAATATTGAACTTTGTACCTAACACAAACTTGCCTCTAGCATTTCCCCGGATCTGTGCGGTAGGGGCCTGTTTGAATCGCATGGAGCATACTTCAGAACCAAGGGGTTGGGTAAATTCGCGTATAATGGGAAAAAAAGTATTTCTTGGGGAACAAATTCTATATAAAATAGTTGTTTTGATTGAATAAAAAGTGATTAGAAACAGGCTGAATAATGTAATGGCAATAAAATCATGGAATCCTAATTCCACTGTTTGCCATTTGTTGTGTAAAAAGTAAAAGAAAGAGAAGCATTGTGCGATATGGGAAATGGGAAATTTCTCCGGACAGCTTCCTCCCCACGAACCTCTTGCTCGGGATGGCCCAAAGCGCCCCAGCTGTAAAAAATGCAGTCCTTAAGCTGGCCCCCGACCGCTACGGGAGAAGCGAAACACGCCCCCAACCAACCATCCAAACCCCATGGCGGGGTCACGTTGCGTGGCAAGTAATTCCATAACAACCACAATTCCTATGCCATAATTCGACCACCTGGCAAAAGAGAGCAAACGCCCAATCAGAGCCAGCGAGGATCTAGGGGCTATCCCTAATCCGTGGCACCCCTCAGCTGGACGCTCCAGACCCGTCACGTGGAACGGTTCAGTGGGCTGGAGGTCACCTATTCCATGCAACATCCACTTCCCACCTGTTTTTTAACCGCATCAGACGAAGGGGATCGAGCCAGTTCCTAGTTTATGCAACATCCATTTATATGCAACTATTTACACCTCAAAAGTAACACCGCCACCGTAATTGTTGAGGTCCACCTTCCCTCGCCCTTGGGCAAAGGCGAAGTGAACAACGATGGGTGACAGT